TATATATATATATATATATATATATATATATATATATATATATATATATATATATTGGCAATTTTTATTTTGGCACTTTAACTCAGCCTTGTTCCATTTTGGCCCTCCAACCCTATTCTTTTGTTCTAATTTGACACAAAAATTTTTCTCCCAGGTAAAAATGCAGCGCGTGCAAATACCCAGCTGCTAACCCCCCCCCCCCACCCCCACCCCCCGCAAAATTTTTTTTTTACTTTTTTTTTTGTAATTTCAAATTATTATTTTTTTCATTTTTTCTGCCCACATCCAGGGAAAATTTTTTTTTTATATATATTTCAGTAATTACTACGGGTTCAACTGAACCCATAACTTTCGACGGGGAGTAAAAATTATATTTAAAAATTCATTAAAATTGAAAAAATAGATATAAACTCCTAACATTTAAAAATATAATGGGTTTCTTGTTCCACTTTGACACAAAAACTTTTATCCCAGGTAAAAATGCAGCGCGGACAAATACCCAGCTGCTACCCCCACCCCCACCTCATTGCCCCCCACCCCCGCAATATTTTTTTTTTTGTAATTTTAAATTATTATTTTTTTCGTTTTTCTGCCCCCTCCCGTGGAAAAAATATTTTTTTATATATATTTTCAGTACTAAACTACGGTTCAACTGAACCCATAACTTTCGACGCGGAAGTTAAAAATTTGTATGTAAAAATTCATATATATTATATATATAATATATATATATATATATATATATATATATTATATATATATATATATATATACTATATATATATATATATAAACCCATAACCTTAAAAATATAATGGGTTCAATGTTAAAAACATTAAAATTGAATCCATAGTATTTAAATTCTGGATCTGCCTCTACGTTGGGAGTATGAAATTTGGCTTAAAAAATGGCTCTCACGCGCCTACAAGGGTGAGGCAAATCACACGTGGAATCTAGTCAGCTTTTGTGTCAAAGTGGAACAAAAGAAATGGAGTTGGAGAGCCAAAATAGAACAAAGCTGAGTTAACCAAAATAAAAAATTAGGCCAAATTATATATATATATATATATATATATATATATATAT